CCAAGAAAGTTTTTAGAAAATAATATCAGAGGGCAGATACCTGACGAAGTCAATCTTGATTTACCTAACGGTAAAACATATACCGTTCAGGTTTTGAAGCAAGAGAACGGCCTCATCTTTCAATCTGGATGGGCAGAATTTGCCAGAACTTATGAACTCGTACAGGGTGATATCTTATTGTTTGAATCCAGTGGAAGCTCCTGCTTTGAAGTTCGAATATTCAATCAAACTGGCTGTGAGAAAGAGTTATCCTGTGTTGCGATGAAAAACACTGCTTGTCTCGATGAAAAGAGCATGCCGCATGATAATGATATGCAGTCGCCAAATAATGAAAGGCTGGCTTGTAACTGCAGTGTTACCTCTCGTCACCTTTATGCCCTAACAAGTAAAATTACGTAGAAATATCGATATTCTATCCTTATCCATACTGAAGTAGGAAATTCTCTTATTTTCCTTTAGTGTTTATTGTGGCGCATACTTGCCCGCCTACTGCAATAATCCAAATTTATTACTGTATTTATTATCATGTAAGTAGACTGTTTACCTAACTGCAGCATGTGGTGTGGTAACATGAGTGAGTATCTGAGTTAGTGTGTGTCTAAACAATTTCATCTCTGCTAACATGGTAGGTGTGGTAACATGAGCGGCAAACGTCACGCAATATGCAAGGTGTGTGCTGCATTTTATTATTGGCACCACATGGATAAAATGCGTTTCTTCATGGTTATGATGGGTGTCAGTGCCTCAAAAAATGAACTGGTAAGACATTGCTAATCACGCTGTTCTCGTGCACCAATATGTATCTTATATAGTTCTTTTAGATTGTTATTTGGGGGGATGTTGATAAATTGAGCTAGCAACTTTGTAAACTTGATGCCGAAGTTGGGACCTTAGATTTTGTACACTGCTCTTGGTTTCCTTTACAGTGACTGCTTTAACTCGTAAGTAAATATGTGTTCTTTTTGTTATTCCTGCAGACCATACCAAAAGAGTTCTCAAACAATGTCAGAGGGAAAATATCTGACGAAATAAAGCTGGAAGTGCCAGATGTACAAGCATATAGAGTTCAGGTTGACAAGGAACCGAATGAAGTAGTCCTTCGATCTGGATGGGATGCATTTGTTAGTGCCTATGAACTTAAAGAGGGTGACACATTGTTGTTTGCGTATACTGGGAACTCCCACTTAAAAGTTCAAATCTTCAATTTAAGTGGTTGTGATAAATTGTTATCGTGCGTCGTGAAGAATAATCCTATGCACTCACCTAGAGAAAGGTCAGTGGTAACTAAATTCACATTCTGTGTTTCTAGGACAAATAAGCATAACTTTGTGCACTTGTTGTGTCATGTCTTCTATATACTTTCTTGTAAATGTACCTAGGACTCCCTCCATTCCTAAATAGTGTGCTTTAGGGTTTTTTTTTAAGTCAAACCTTGTAAGCTTTGATCAAGTTTAAGAAATTTTTATCAACATCTTGAATACGAAATCAATACCATTAGTGACCTACTGGTGCTCCACCTTGGACTATATCTTAATGTTGACACATAGGCAAAAATCTGATGTGGCACACTATTTAACGAGGAAAGAGAGCATTACTATATCTTAATCTAGATATAGCTCTTAGCACAAAAACCAAGACAAATCATGTGTTTTCTCTCACAAAACACATTAATTAAGAGCTCTTTTAAATACAACAATAAGATAGGATCCAGTGAAGGAGCTATATCTAACTACAAACTTAATTTATATGATATAGCTTAAGCTATAATGCATTAGCAATGCCCTTAGATTCATCATGAAATACATTTTCATATGGGATATATTTGGTATTGTAGATATAGATGGTTATCTCAATAAACCTGGCAAAGTTTTTACTTTGGTGAAAACACATCTCACTACATTATGGGACAAAGGGAGTACATATGACATCTCCAACAAGCTGTACACATTCTTGTTGGAAAAAAAATGTCATCAATCAACAAATTATCATACAACTACTCCAATGAGTTGTATCTAAATTGTCCAATAGGAGGTGAGAGAAATAAGCGTGGTTGCTAACTAATTCACCTCATTAGCTTGTGCAAGGGTTGTTGGTTAATTTACATACAATTTCTCTCTCTCTCTCTCTCTCTCTCTCTCTGTGCGTGTGTGTGTGTCCCCCCCCCCCTCCTCTCTACATTTACTAGATGATATCCTGCGTGTTGCAGCGGGATTGGTTGCAATATTTTCAAAGAGTTTTAGTTGTATGGAATTTGAATATGAGAATGTAAATGGGAAATTATATATAATTTACCATACAACAACAAGAAAGCCTTTAGTCCAAAACTAGTTGGAGTAGGCTAGAGCTGAAACCCATAGGATCTCGCAACTAACTTATGGTTCTGGCACATGGATAGCTAGCTTCCATGCGGCTAGTTCTTTGGTGATACTCCGGTCCTTCGGATATCTCTTTATAGACTCCTCCCATGTCAAGTTCGGTCTACCCTGACCTCTCTTGACATTATCAACACGCTTGGTCGTCCGCTAGGTACTGGAGCTTCTGGAGGCCTGCGCTAAATATGCTCAAACCATCTGAGACGTTGTTGTACAAGCTTCTCTTCAATCAGTGTTACCCCAACTCTATCCCGTATATCATCATTCCGAACCCAGTCTCCTTGTGCGGCGACACATCCATGCCAACATGCGCATCTCCGCTACACATAACTGTTGGATATGTCGCCTTTTAGTCGGCCAACACTCAGCACCATACAACATTGCAGGTTGAATCGCCGGCCTATAGAACCTGCCTTTCAGCTTTTTTGGCACTCTTGTCACGGAGAATGCTAGAAGCTTGGCGCCACATAATCCATCCGGCTTTGATTTGATGGTTCACATCTTCATCGATATCCCCATCCTTCTGTAGCATTGACCCCAAATATCGAAAGTTGTCCTTCTGAGGCACCACCTGCCCATTAAGGCTAACCTCCTCACCGTTCCTAGTAGTACTGAAACCGCACCTCATGTACTCGGTTTTAGTTCTACTAAGCCTAAAACCTTTCGATTCCAAGGTTTGTCTCCATAGCTCTAACTTTCTATTAATCCCAGTCCGACTAACATCGACTAGCACCACATCCGCAAAGAGCATACACCATGGGATATTTCCTTGTATATCCCTTGTGACCTCATCCATCCCCAAAGCAAATAGATAAGGGCTCAAAGCTAACGCTGGTGTAGTCCTTCGGAAAGTCATCAATGTCGTCATCACTTGTCCGAACACTTGTCACAACATTATCATACATGTCCTTGATGAGGGTAATGTACTTTGTTGGGACTTTGTGTTTCTTCAAGGCCCACCACATGACATTCTGTGGTATCTTATCGTAGGCCTTCTCCAAGTCAATGAACACCATATGCAGGTCCTTCTTTTGCTCCTTGTATCTCTCCATAAGTTATCGTACCAAGAAAATGGCTTCAATGGTCGACCTCCCAGGCATGAAACCAAACTGATTTTTCATCATGCTTGTCATTCTTCTTAAGTGGTGCTCAATGAGTCTCTCCCATAGCTTCACTGTATGGCTCATCAGCTTAATTTCATGGTAATTAGTACAACTTCGAACATCCCCCTTGTTCTTGAAGATTGGTAATAATATACCCCGTCTCCATTCTTCTGGCATCTCATTTGCTCCTAAAATGAGGTTGAAAAGATTAGTTAGCCATATTAGCGCTATGCCTCTAAGGCCTCTCCACACCTCAATGGAGGTACAATTAGGGCCCATTGCCTTGCCTCCTTTCATACTTTTTAAAGCCTCCTTGAACTCGGACTCCTAGATTCACCGCATAAAACGCCTGCTGGTATCATCAAACAAGTCATCCAGTTCAATGGCAGAGCTCTCATTCTACCCATTGAATGCCTTGTCGAAGTACTCCCGCCATCTATGCTTAATCTCCTCTTTCTTCATCAGGAGCTGGTCTACTTCGTCCTTGATGTATTTGACTTGGTCGACATCCCTCGTCTTCCTCTCTCAGATCTTGGCCATCTTATAGATGTCCCTTTCGCCTTCCTTTGTGTTTAACCGCTGGTAGAGATCCTCATACGCCCGACCCCTTGCTTCACTCACAGCTCGCTTTGCAGTCTTCTTTGCGTAGGCTAGAGCAAAGCTTAAGATATCTTCTCCTTCTTGATTCTTGATGCCATAGCCAAAGCCCCCATGCACTCCTTCAAAACTTGTGTTAGATGTACCCACGTGGCCGTTGATGTCTCTTCCTGTGAAGAGCTTCTCGCCAATGGGTACACTCCTAACCATGTCCTCCAGGCCATCCCAGAACTCCCTCTTGGTCTTCTCATTGTGGCCTACTTGCGGGGCATACACGCTGATAACATTGAGAACCAAGTCCCCAACTACTAGCTTGACCAGGATAATCCGGTCCCCACTCCATACTTGAGGCCCTTGTTGATCAAAGATGCCTGCTCCATTTCTCTTTGTAGTCGTCCCCGTGTACCATAGCTTGAAGCTGGAATCCTCCACCTCCTTCGCCTTATGTCCCGTCCATTTGGTTGTCCCCTCTATGTAGTTGTAAAATATTTATAGAATATAAGTATCATGTCCCGTGCATGTTGAGAAAATATAATTAGTGGGTTTGGTTAAATGGCATGTGTGATGAGGTGAAAAGTGTACATGTTGAGAACAACAGAAGTAATGGAGTCATGCATGTTGAGAGTAATAGAATTAGTTGGATTGATGAGGTGGCATGTGTGGTGAGGTAGGATGTGTGCATGTTGAGAGAAATGAAAGTAGCGGGGATCAAGTATATAGACATATAGGATTCCTGTCACATGATCATACATACTAGGTGTCAAGTTTTACCAACACCTATCTTACAACTGTTGGAGATGCCCTTAGTAAGGTATATCTGTGTGCGTGTGTGGTGCTTGGGTGTGTGCATGTGTGTGTGTGTGTGAGCATGTGCTCTCGGTGGATTTGATTTCTGTATTCTAACAATTTCATCTCAACTGAACACAGCATGAAGAAACTATGCACAGTGTGCCTAGAATGTGTTGATCGCCATTATTGGCACATGAAAGATCATGATTGGTGTTTTCTCAAGGTTATGAGTCTGAGTAATTTCAAGGATGAAATGGTAAGACCTTGTCAATAACACTATTTTCTGCACCAAATATATATTCTACAGTTCTCTAAATTGTTGTTTAGTGAGCAATTGAGAAACACTGCCAATCTTGATGCTGAAATTAGGAGCTTGAGAACCAATTTTGTTCACAATAAATATAGTTTACATGAAATGAAACTGCATGAAACCCAAACAACCAAAATTTTCTACTCCCTGTGATCCAAAAAAAAGTGTCGTGGGTTTACTTCAGCTTTAGTTCAAATTTGAACTAAAACCACGACACTTTTTTTTTGGATCGGAGGGAGTAATAAATAGTAGTGAAAACATGTGCTCTTAATTTTTCTCACAGTGAATTATAGGTAGGGAGATGGGATGGAAATCACTTAACCATGTCTATGGTCATTGGCTGCTCAATGATCCTTTTTCATTTGTTCCTTTATGCAGGCCATACCAGATGAGTTCACCACTAATTTCAGAGGTCACATTTCTGATAAAGTCAAACTAGAAGTACCTGATGGCAACATTTATAATGTTCAGGTTGCCAAGGAACAGGATAAGTTTATTCTTCGATCAGGGTGGGTGGACTTCACTGGTGCTTATGAACTTAAACAGTACGACTCCCTGTTCTTTATATATAGTGGGGACTCCCACTTCAAAGTTCGAATCTTAAAACCAAGTGGTTGCGAGAAAGCGTTGTCATGTGTTACAATGAGCTGTGGTCCTAATGTCCAAGAAAGGGTCATTTGTCATGCTATATCACTACCTAGCATAAAAAGATGTAGAAATGACAATTTGACGGACAATTTGAAAACTGCAAAGGTTACTCCAACGGACTCACCTTCGCAGAAATCAAGTTCAGAAATGAACAGTTGAGTGTGCAATTTCCATTACTGCTTTTTAGGATTTCTTTTACTACTTTTTTGTTCTCATTGCTGCTTTCATGATTGATGTTGCACAGCACAAGATGTCACATCTTCAAAAGATATTCCGGAACCAAGGAGTTCATATGGCCTTCCGGGGTCCACTGAATCATGATACATCTTAGAAAAGGGCTGTATACTGACTAGCGCTCAGAAGGCAAGAGTTGAGACATTTGTGAAGGAAAGTTGGACTGGAATCCAAATTTATGTCACAGTCATGAATGAGAAAAGTCTGCCTGATGGTTGTCTGGTACAGTATCTTTTGCAGTGAATGATCTTTTTGAATGAATACTATAATATCTTGCTAGAGCTTTGTCGAAATTGTTAAAACCCTAGCTCTCTGCAATTACGGTCAGTTCATTTATTTGTAACAGGTCATCTGCAAGGATTTTGCAGCCAAACACCTTCCGCGCCAAGACCAGACAATAAAACCCTGTTATCCTCAGAACAACAAACATGGGACGCCAATTTGGCGGTTATCACTGATGGTGCATGCACCCGTTCATGCATCCTTGCTGCTGGTTGGCTGGACTTTGTACGCGATAACAACTTGCGGGAAGGTGATATCTGCGCATTCGAAGTGTCAAAGGACCATGATAGAGTGATAATAACAGTCCACCTCTTAAAGAATGTTGTCGTAACAGGACATACCAAACCAACCAGCCAGCAGCAGAAGAAATGGTCTCACCCAGGCTATGTGGTTACAAAATACACCAAACTGACTTGCAAGCAGAAGGGAAAAATCGAAGAGAGGATCCAGGCTATTAAACCTGAAATCAGAATATTCGTATCCATCATCTATAGCAGCCGTGCCAAGCTGGTAAGTTGCGTCGATCCGTGCTGTTTCATCTTCTTAATAAGGATCTATATATGTTGTTTGTTGCTCTGTTGACAACTTACCATTCCGCCTTATGAATGTGCAACGAACAAACTCAGTCCATAGAAGTGCGATATGCTACCGCTCATCTTCCACGCGAGGAGCAGTGGGTGAGGCTTCAACTGCCTGGGAAGAACCACACTTGGAAAGCCAAGCTCTATATCGGCGACAAGGACAAAGGCAAATGTTATGCGCTACAAACAGGCTGGAAGAAGTTTGTAGATGACAACAAACTGCAGGATGACGACATGTGCCTGTTTGAGCTACTCAAGAACGAGGAGCTCACCATGAACGTCCACATCATTCGCAGAGATTGAGAGAAGCGTAGCTGGCCAATGTCGCCTGCCATGGTGGTGGTGGCGCCACTCTTGTAGTTGGTGCATTTTGTATCAGAAATGCACAAACTTTGGGTTCCCCCATCTCCCAAATACTTGCGAGAAACCCTGTTGATGTCGATGAGATGGGTTTCAGTTTGGTTTCAGCTCCTGCAAGCATGTCTATGTTTTGTTTCAAAGCTACTGGTTAGTTTTGTTTTATTTTTTTTTTGAAGAGGAAAAAACCCTCAATCTCTACACCGAGTGATGCATGCATATTGTTAATTATTGATATTGCTGAATCAATCTTTTTTTAATGACAAGAAGCCTGGCCTCTGCATCGAAAGATGCACACAACCTATTTATTAAGCAAAATAAGTCCAATTCACTGAGTACAAAAAGGTTGCAAAACACAACCTATTTGTAGGTCTGAAAGGGTCTGAAAGAACTACATAGCTCCACATAATCTGTTACTGGCAATGCCAGCCAAACTGGATGAACAAACTTAGTGCAACAATTTTTTGACGGTTGCACCCAAAGACCATAAGCCCTCTCGTGTGTCCACACGCTGCATCCATGACACGTATAATCAACGTCGTAGCTTTGAAGATAACCTGCAAAAAATGGAATAGATCATCTGTTAAACAGGTACATTCAGGCAATTCCAAATTGCCCAAAGAGTGACATAAATTCACAACGCGATTTGGCCCTTCAGACTATGGTGAATACCCTCCAACCAACTAGTACATTTAACAACAAATCTAAAGATATATATTTTAGAGCAACTCCAACACGCCGACTCAAACAGACGACGTTTTTGTCCGTTTTTTGACCGTTTGTAGGTGATTCAAGATTGTGGGCCGTTCCTAAATATAAGTCTTTCTAGAAATTCCAACAAGTGACTACATACGAAGCAAAATGAGTGAATCTACACTCTAAAATATGTCTACAAACATCCGTATGTTGTATTCCATTTGAAATGTCTAAAAAGACTTATATTTAGGAACGGAGGGAGTAGCAAACTAGTTTTGTAAAGTGCTCTTGATTTTTCTTTACAATGACTGCCTTAACTTGTTAGTAGGTTATCCCTGCAGACCATACCAGAAAAGTTTGCAAACTATGTCAGAGGGCACATATCTGAAGAAATAAAGCTAGAAGTGCCAGATGGCCAAACATATAGTGTTCAGGTTGACAATGAACAGAATGAGCTAGTCCTTCGCTGTGGGTGGGATACATTTGTCAGTGCCTATGAACTTAAAGAGGGTGACACATTGTTGTTCGGGTATAATAGTAACTCCCAGTTCAAAGTCCGAATCTTCAATGTGTTACGATCTCTACCTCTATTGACTTGAATCCATGGCGGTACAGGAGGAATTGGGGGTAGGAAAGGTGAGATCTGTTACAGGAGAGGTAGAGTTCGGGGGAGGAAGAGAGAGCAGGGGAAGGGGAAAGTTACAACTCTAGATAATTCTCGATGCCCCTACACACACAGCCGCTCCCTGGCTTATCCACCCAACTCCCAGGTGGACGGGTCGAACCGCCGATTGGGCCTTCGTCTTCTCTTGGGCTGGCCCTCCTTGTCCTCCTGGGCTTGGCCCGTGTCCGCGTCCGTGACATTCTCCCCGCCTTCAGCACCGGCTTGACCCCAAGCCGCAGCCCCCGGGAACCGACTGCGGAGCTCGAAGTAGTCCTCCCATGACGCCAATGGCGTTGGTTGCGATGCCCACTTGATCAGCACTTGAGGTATCTTGGCCGCTCCTCTGGTAACCACCCGGCGCGCCAGGACTTGCTCCGGGATGGCCGGCACAGAGTGCTCCTTGGGTGGTGCAAGCAGTTCCAGTTCGACCGTGGTTGCTGGTGGCAGAGCTCCGCGAAGAAGTGATACATGAAACACTGGGTGTACCTTGCTTGACTCTGGAAGTTGCAGACGGTAGGCAACGGCTCCGATGCGAGCTGTGACCTGGAAGAGACCAAAGTAACGGAAGGATAGTTTGTGATTAGCACGTTCCGCAACTGAAACCTGGACATAAGGCTGGAGCTTGACGAACACCCAATCCCCCACGGCAAACTCGCGCTCTGACCGGTGCTTGTCTGCTTGGTCCTTCATTCGCTGGCGAGCTCGCTCCAGATGTTGTTTGAGCAAGTCTGTTACCAGGGCGCGTTCGTGCATCCAAACAGAGAGGTCCGGCGGAGCAGCTGCAGATGCATCCAGAATGTCGAAATGCCGAGGAGGGTGGCCATAAAGCATCTCAAAAGGAGACATCCCAAGTGCAGAATGCAGCGATTTATTGTACCAGAATTCTGCCTGATGTATCCATTGGAACCAGCGGTGAGGGTAGGTATGGACAAAGCAGCGGAGGTATGCCTCCAGACACTGATTAACCCGCTCGGTAGTGCCATCTGTCTGAGGATGATAGGCCGAGGACATACGCAGTTCTGTGCCAGCTTGACGAAACAGTTCTCGCCACAATTTACTGGTAAAAATGCGATCTCTGTCGGACACCAGATCATGAGGCAACCCATGATATTTGTAGACATTAGTCATGTAAGCAGATGCCACTTGAACCGCCGAGAAGGGGTGTGCCAGCGGCACAAAATGGGCATATCTTGTCAGTTTGTCCACAACCACCATGATGCAGCTATATCCCCTCGACGCTGGCAGCCCTTCGACAAAGTCAAGTGTAACAGTATGCCAAGGGTGCGCTGGCACCTCTAGTGGTTCGAGCAGTCCCGGAGTGCGAACATGTTCTAGTTTGGCTTGTTTGCAAACTGCACACTCGGACACAAACTTCACCACTGCTGCCTTCATACCAGACCAGGCAAACAACCTTTTGAGTCGGTCGTAAGTCACATGTATACCTGAGTGCCCGCCCAAAGGACTGGAATGCATGGATCTGAGGATCATATCCTGGGCTGCCGTGTTTGATCCAAGCCACACGCGACCTTTATACCGGATCACGCCATCCCGCACTGTATAGGGTGCTGAAGGGTCCAAGACACCACTATATTTCTGCAACAGATCACGTGCCTGGGGATCAGATTGATATCCGCGGGTGATGTCCTCGAGCCAAGAGGGTAGCGCCACAGAAATGGCCAACAAGGCGCCATCACGACGCGACAAGGCATCCGCTGCTCGATTCTCAACCCCTTTCTTGTATACAATGTGGTACTGTAACCCCAACAGTTTGGTGAGGGCACGGCGCTGCCAAGACGTAGTGAGGCGCTGATCATCCAGATGAGAAAGACTACGTTGGTCAGTGCGGATAATGAATTCCCCAGTTTGCAAGTAGGGTCGCCAGTGATCGACTGCCATCAATACTGCCATAAACTCCTTCTCATAAGCTGACAACCCTTGGTTTCGAGGACCGAGTGCCTTGCTGAAGAATGCCAATGGGTGGCCAGCTTGCATCAACACAGCACCAACACCAGTGTTAGAAGCATCTGTTTCGACCTCAAATGGAAGATCAAACCGCGGTAGTGCAAGGACGGGGGTTGTGATCAAAGCCTGCTTGAGATGCTGGAACGCTGATTGTGACGCCCTCGATTCAATCATACACTAATCATACACGCAAATGTGTACGATCAAGATCAAGGACTCACGGGAAGATATCACAACACAACTCTAGACACAAATTAAAATAATACAAGCTTTATATTACAAGCCAAGGGCCTCGAGGGCTCGAATACATCAGCTTGAAAACAAACGAGTCAGCGGAAGCAACAATATCTGAGCACAGACGTGAGTTAAACAAGTTTGCCTTA